TTGCTCTTTTGGAAGAGGTCGTCTAAAGAGAAGAATATGTGGTTCTGTGGAAACAAAATATTTTACATAATTTTAATACAATATGGTTAACTTTCAGTCATTCAACCAAAATTCCAAATTCTCAATTAAACCAAAATAAATCTATGATCAGCTGTCATTTTATAGAAATATCTGAAATAAATTTTGCTTCAAAAGTCACTGTCCACTATAAACAGAAGAAAACCACCTGATGATGACATTCCCCACAGTGTGCCACTGTTTAATTTAGTTTCACCTACCCTGGAAAAAGATGCTAAGTAGAGAAGCCACTTCGGGGGGAATGGTTTCTACCTTTAGAATCTCAATTCCAGTGAAAAGGAAAGACACCTAACACCAAATTAAAAAACCACCAGCCCGTAAAAAGTGCAGATCCCAGGGGCCCATTCCCAAAGATTGTTTCATTAGGTGGGAGCCCAGGATTCTAGAGTTAAGTTCCTCCTGTGCTCTGGTATTACAGCTAATACTAATAATTAATAATAATAAAAGAAAGAGCTTTTGAACCCTGATACAATTAAATGCCCCCAATCCCAAGAAAGTTTTAAGTCACATTCTGATGCTATTGCTGCTTTTCTTTAACAAGAGCAGAAAACAAGCTCTAGTTCCACCTAATTCGGTTTCTACAGCATGCCCTCAAATTTTGCTCAAAGCATTGTAAATTGTTTAAGTTAGATCTGTTTACTGATAACGCAAAAGCAGAATTTAACCCCACAAGTTTTAGTTTACCATTTCGTATCTGGGAAGCTCTGGTAAAATCCACACAATAATATAACCATTCATAACAACACAACAAGGTTCACTCACTAGGTTACCTTATTTCACCTTAATGTGGTAGATCCCAATTATCTTTTAACAGAATATTAAAGGAAAAGACAAATCACTTCAAATTGCATTAACTTCTATGCTAAGAACTTAAGGACACTTAAGATGTCTTAAAATGAGTTCTCAGTTTTCAGAGACAGGACACCAGAATTATGCTTACAGCAAAATATTTATTAATAATGACACGTTTTAAAATAAAATGGAATTGATTTTAACTCCTTACCTTTCTGCAGGTAGAATAATGCATTACTTTCACTCATGTGGTATTATTTACTACAAAATTGGAATTCTTCCTAGGGAAGAAAGGAATCAGCCATCCAAGAGTAGTCAAACTTACCACGGTTACTTTGGGAATACCACTGACTGTCAATATTACTTAACAATTTTCAAAAACCACAACCACTACTTCTTTATTTCAGTTGATGCTTTCCTAAATGGAAACACCTACCTGGCTCGTGAATCATGTAATGAACCCAGCCTAGACTCTGTTGGACACCAAGTCTCCTCCACTCCTCTTCAGACATCAGATGGGTTTTCGGGACTTGTTTGGAAAGTTCTCTGGGTAACATGACATGCCTGTTAAGAGATATAGCCAAGTATTAAATACACCTTTCCTACAATTATGATCACTTTATAAATGCATTTTTAGGATACTTAATATCCTGAGTTCAAAATAAAAATCTTTAAAGCAACTCTTGTTACATTACTGTTGACATCAATCTTGAGGGCTGTCTACTACCTTTAATTCTGATTTTTGATGGCCTAATGTTCAAAACGGGAAGAATATACAGTCCAAAAGCAGAAAGCACTTTGTTTAGGATTTGCCTTTTCTTCTCTAAGAGACTGCTTGCTGTTTCAATGTTCTTCAGAAATAGAATCCCCAAACCCAAGTCGGGCTCATGGTTATCCAAAACATCCCAGCCTCCCCTACAGCCATCTCTGGTGACTTAAATCCTGGCCAATAAGATATAAGCAAAGAATATGTAACTTATGGAAACTGTCTTCAAAAGGAAAGAACATGCCCAACTCTTTTCCTTGTTCTTCCCTGATGGGTTATGAAGCAGACTAATGTGATCAGGGAGCCAGAGAAGCCATCTAAGACCACAGAAGCGTAAATTGAGGATGGTTCCTGATTGTAAAACTGACATCCCAGACCCTTGTAGACTTTCACATAATAGGAAAAAATAATTTGTTACAGTTAATTTGGTTTCCCATTACTCAACATTGTAGATCTGTAGATGAGTCCCTGTATACTCTACAAGTTGCTTTGTTTAAATAAAAAGCAAAAAACAAACCCAAATCCCACGTATATATGTGTACCTGGCAACCTAGCACAAAGACGTTCAGTTTTCCAGTAAGTTACTGACTTCTATCCATTAAATAACTATCTTCTATTCTTTGGATATGACGTATATCCCAAATTGTATTGTTTGTTTTTTTTTAAGAAGACATGCAATACTCTTCAATGTCAAAACATCAATAAGGTGTACAATTGTAGCTTTGTAAAAATTCTTAAAGACAAGTCTGCACCCCTCTTAACAGCAGTAAAAAGTTCTTTATAAATCACAATTCCCAGACCCATTTTTACCATTTCCAGTAGCAGTCTAAAGTTATACAGTCATCGACAACCACTATAAAACATCAATCTACCTGAAAGTCAGTTGGCTATGAATATGAGAAAGGTGCAGTCTGTGGTTAGTCACAGTTTCTGGCACAAAAGGAAACTGAACCCATAACCCATAATAAGCACTAAACAGTCATCAACTTAAACGCTAGAGTCTGTGGCTGGTGAATTAAATACCCATCACAAATTATTTACACAAAAAAAGTGAGCCTTAGAACAACTGTTGCTAGATCTGCCATAAGGCCACCCAATGAAATTATGCTTACTATTTTTACTAATTCCAGGGAACTACAGTTGACCCTTGAACAACATGGGGTTTGGGGCGCTGATACCCTGCGCAGATGAAAACCCACATATAACATCTGATTCCCCCAAAACTTACTGATAGCCAACTCTGACCCAAAGCCTTGCTGATGACATGAACAGCCAATGCTGCGCTAACATCTATCCACACTTAAGGCTCTGCAAAGAATCTTACTTCTGCCTTCTACATCAGTTCCGGATCAGCCTCAAAGGGAAGTGGAATGCCAGCTAGCTGTCTGTGTTCATACTGTGTACAACCATACAAACGTATCCACGTGTTACTCACAAGCCACAACCCCTCCCTTGCCCCTTAATCATGGAAGCGGGCTCCCCTTCATCAAGGTTTGATTACAAAGGAGAAATTTTCGATAGCTCCAAACTCGCATAACTCTACCTCTACTTTACTGCGGGGAGATCGTTTCCTAACTGCAGGTAAGGAAAGTATTTCCCCAACCCAACGCTGGCTTCTCTGACGGGCTTGCTGGGGAGGGCGGGCGGCCGGGGCCGCGCGTGGGAGGGGAGGCCAGTTAAACCGGGAGCCACTCGGGTAGCGCCACCAGCTACCTTCCAGAGAGCAGAGGGTCTTGAAAAAGCTGGCCTACAGCTTCGATGAGCTTAAATCCACAGTGCTCTAGCACCTGGACCCGAGTACCGCTCAACACACCTAAGCCGTGACCTCGTCCACAAAAGCACCCACGCCGATCCGACGCCTGAGCGCACACGCCCCCTAAAGCTGCGGCAGCACCACGGACGCACGGCCCCGGAGCCCAGCTCAGGTCCAGCTCTCCCAAGCGGCGGCTGCGCCCCGCGCCCCCGGCCAGCCTCCCCACCTCCGGGGGGGCCGCGACGCGGGCCTGCGACTCCGGCTACTCCTGCGCCCTGCCCCGGGCGCGCACGCCTCCGCGGCGCCGAAGCGCCGCCACACAAAAGCCAAGCCGCCGGCGGCGGCGCCCTGACGCCCCCGCCCCCGCCCCCGCCCGGAGCCGCCGCCCGGAGCCCGGCCCCCGGGACGCGTCGGGAGGTGCCCGAGGCCCGGCCCCGCCCCGGGCGGCCGGTTTCCCCGCTCGGTCCCGCCGCAGGTGCCCGCAACGCCGAGGCCCAGAGCCGCCGCGCGGCCGCGCACCGAGGCCGGGGGAGCCCCTGCCGGACCGCGGAGAGCGAGGCGGGGCAACGGACCTCGCCGCCCCCCGCGCCGCTCGGCCGCCGCGAACAAAGGCCGGGGAATGGCGGGCCGCAGGCCGCGGCCCCGGGACCCGCGCCGCCACCCTGACCCCACCTCCGACCTCGGGCCCTGACCCCGACCCCGGCTCCGGTTCCGCGGCTAAGGCAGCCCCGCCGGCCGGCCCCGCTCACCGGTACTCGTAGTGCTCGTCGAAGTACTTGTCCGAGTAGTAGATCTGCTTGTGGGCCATCCTGCGGGCGGGCGGGAGCGACGGGGCGCAAGGAGCGGGCGCGGCGGGCCACACGTCCGGGCCTGGCCAGAGCAACGGCTCGACTGCGACCAACCGACCACAGGCCCAACGATCCCGGTTTGAATCCGACAGCCCGCCGCTGATTGGACGGAGGCGCCAGCCAATTGCCTCCCGCGTAAACTGCCGGTAGGCGGGACAGGCTCACAGCCTATCGTCACGACCCTCCTCGGCGTGTGCTCTCATGGTCAGCCAATCAGAGACCTGTTGCGAGGCCGCCCGGGGGAAGAAGTGGATGATTGGCAAGACGCGGCGACGGGAAACTCCCTGACGGAAGGGGGCGTGGTCATGGGCGGGCGGAGCCCGGACGTTAAGGGCCTCAGAGCGCGTGCGCAGGGGTTTAGAACTTTCCAGGTCGGCCGGGCCGTTGGGGTGGGCGGGCCTGCGGGAGGGGTGAGGTATCGCGAGTTTTAGCGAGGTGCGGGCGGGGCTGCATGCCGTGCGACCACCCCCGCGCAGCCGCAAACTCGACGTTCCAGAAAGGGCGTCGAGCGCGCGGGAGGTGCGGTGTCCTGGGCGTGGGGAGGGAGGGGGCCCGGCTTCCCGCCCGCCGCGGGCCTGGCGTCCGGGGCCCGGGAGGCTACGGCGCTCGCGGCGGGCGGGCGGGCGTGGAAAGGCCCTGGGCGGCGCGGTCGGGAGCCCACGTCGAGCAGACAGGTGGCCGGAGGGAGAAGCACACCGACCCGCGAGCCGCCTGCCATTCGGTGACTGTCAGAAGCGCCCCGCGGTGTTTCCCCGCGCTCCGCAGCCGGCGCGTGCCACGTGCAGGAACCGGGTTCCTTTAGGACACGGGGAGGTCGCCGCTGCAACAGGCGCATCGGCGGGCGCCCGGTCCCCGCAGGGCTTCTGGTCCCGACCCGCGCCTACACGCCGCCGCCACCTGCCCGGCCCCGCACCTGCGGGCTCAGTACGGGCCCGGCCCCGCACCTGCCCGGCCCCGCACCTGCGGGCTCAGTACCGGCCCGGCCCCGCACCT